ATTGCACAGAATGTAATCATGACTGTTACTGCTCAGTTACTACGCACATACTTGATGATTTACTGTGTATGTTTACAGTATCATTTATAAACTTTGTATGATCTTAACTTTTTATAAAACATTTTTATAAGTATGCAAACTTACAAGATGAAAATAAACCTATTTGCCTGTTAGCTGATAAATGCAGCATTTATCTCAGAATTAGTGACTTTTCATTTGCAACTCCCAGTCATTTTCATGGTAGTCAAATAAGTTCTCTCACATTCGAGGCCCTGATAACTTCATTACTATCATTTACTTAGTTTGGCCAGTCACTGGGTGAGATTCCTGGCAGCTTGAGAGGTTTTCCATGGGAAGCATGCAGCTGTTAAGTACTGAGCCAGCAGAAATCCCTGAACAGATAGAACCAATACAAACCTTTGTTGTTATTGAGACAGGGTTTCTCTGTTTAACAGCCCTGGCTGTCCTGGAACTTGAGCTGTAGATAAGGCTGGCCTGGAACTCAGAGATCCACCTACCATTGCCTCCTGAGTGCTGGGATTAAAGGTGTGTGCCAACATGCCCAGCTCTAATGAGTTTTGTTTGTATTGGTAACTAATTCAAACTCTTCTTGTTAGTCTAAAAATTGTAATAAGATAATGTGAACATTGACTAGATTTTTCACTTTTAAAAATGGAACTAAATTATCCCAAGGGAACAACAGGAGAAGCATGGGTGTTGTTTCTTACCATGTAGCCCAAACCATCCTCGAACTTGGGATCTTCCTGCATCTATCCCACAAGTACTAGAATTACAGACCTGCTCGTGTGCCCCACTAGGGAAAAGAATGACCTACTTGTGAATGAGAAATCTGTGGCTTTAATAGTAAACTAAAAGCTAGCCTTGGGTCAGTGATACCCCAGTCTCTTCCTTACTTCCTTTTTTATAAAAAGATAAAGACCAGGAGGCTGGAGAGATGGCTCAGGGGTTAAGAGCACTGACTGTTCTTCCAGAGGTCCTGAGTTCAATTCCCAGCAACCACATGGTGGCTCACAACCATCTGTAATAGGATCTGGTGCCCTCTACTGGCCTGCGCTGTATACATGATAAATAAATAAATATTAAAAAAAATAAAAGATAAAGACCAGTATTTAAACAAAGAAAGTAGAGCTAACCATGGAAGTATTAGATTTGAGTTTAGTTCTGGGCCTTAATTTTTAAAATCTTACTAAAATTTGATTTAAAACACAGTACAATGAACGATGATGAAAAGTACTTTATTGGTTACAGATTACAGTATCAGATCATTACAACAGGATTTTTCAAGCAACTGTATAAATAAGGAGTGAGAATCACTGTTCTATCTCGGAATACTGTCAAATCATGGCACAAGTCCTCTGCTTGTATGGTAAAGCTTTAGACATGGCTGACATTCCTAGTTAATTGGCTTCACGTGTTGAAAATATTTCTAAGGTGCCTTATAGGAAAATCCTCAAACCAGCTTCAAGACACACAGAGGTGTGCGCTACCTCATCATGGCTTTGGTGAGATGATGCAAGCCTCTTTGATGAGAAAATGATAGGCTAGAGCACCGTTGTGTAAAGACAGAGAGGCCTGGACAACCTATAGTTATGCCATTGAAGCCCCAGTTAAGCACTATACTGTGGAAGTTTTTGTTGAGTACATTTCATACTAGTTGAAACAAGTTTTTCCTTCATTAGGCTACATTATTATACCATTCCCACAAAATCAGCTATTGGTTGATAAATAGAAGAATAAAAAACTTTTAGAAAACTATCAACATGGAAAACATTTCCTAAATATAAGATGTTCCATCAGTCTGTGGCTAATGATGTTGCCTTAGACATCATGTGAGCACCTGTTGTAGCCAGTGAAGAGCTGAAGTGAGCAGAATGCTTCACATTCCACAGGATCCAATTAAGATTATCTCTGTAAAATGTGGGTGGCTTTTAAATTTCTAACAGGAGCTCAAACGTCATTTTCAATCATGCTTTCCGCAGTGGCCAGGGAGAAAAACATCTGAACACAGTACTTCAGAATTTGTGGAGCTTTGTGTGGTCTGCAGGTTCTAAAGAATATTATTCCTTATTGAAATGATTGGAGGTCCATCTGGGGGACTACTTTTTCAGTTCCTCTAAACTCGTCAACAGTTCAAAATCCAAGAAGTTCATATTCACATAATTTCCCTGAATGGTTTCACTTCTAAAACAAAGTCTTAGTTTTACTGCTAAATCTAAGACATCAACAGGATTGGAGAGTACTTTCAGCAATGGAATGATCATTTTTATGGTAGGATAGGATTTTTTTTTAAAAAAGGGTTTATTATAAATTATGTATGTGTGTTCGGGTACCAGAAGAGGGCTTTGGAGCCCTTGAAGTTACAGGCAATTGTTAGCCACCAGAACTGGGAACTGAACTCAGTCTTCTGTGAGAACAGCAAGCAGGCTTAACTACGAGCCATCTCTCCAGCCCTTGGGATAAGGTTTCCATCTGATAGCCCTGGCTGACTGGCCTCAGGGCTCAGTGATCCCTCTGTTGCAGCCTCCCAAGTGAAGGGTTATAGGCAGGCACTAGTTCATTTCTCTTTACTAGATTAAAATTTCTTAACATCCAAGAAAAACATCAGTCACCTTGCCAAGTCTAAATTAAAATGCTACTGACTATAGACTTGCTCTTGAAGGAACAGACCCCAATACTTTGCTTTTTTTGTTTTTCTTTCTTTCTTTTTTTTTTTTTTTTTTTTTTTTTTTGGTTTTTCAAGACAGGGTTTCTCTGTGTAGCTTTGGAGCCTATCCTGGCACTCACTCTGGAGACCAGGCTGGCCTCGAACTCACAGAGATCCAACTGTCTCTGCCTCCCGAGTGCTGGATTAAAGGTGTGCGCCACCAACTCCCGGCTTTGTTTTTCAAGACAGGGTTTCTCTGTGGCTTTGGAGGCTGTCCTGGAACTAGCTCTTGTAGACCAGGCTGGTCTCGAACTCACAGAGATCCACCTGCCTCTGCCTCCCAAGTGCTGGGATTAAAGGTGTGTGCCACCACTGCAGGGCCAACACTTTGCTTTTATGAATTTGGAATTCAGTATAGTACATGGTATCACAACTAAGTCCAAGCTAGTTAGGGACCTGGAATATTACATGGAGCACAGCTGCCAAAAATGAAGCCTGTTCATCAATTAAGGTAGATAGAGATGTCCTTCCTGAACGGTGCTTTGTGGCTCTCACTCAACTACATGGTCACACTGCTTTAGAAAAGAACATGTGCCTTTACAGTGATACTCTTGGGGAAAGCTGCACAGTGATAAATGCCTGTGGACCCAGCCAGAGGCCAAGGCAGGAGCCATGTCAAAATGTTAAAAATCTTGCTGATCTCAAAGAGAACTTTTGTTTGATGTTATGCATGCTATACATCAGCCTGCTAAGGCACATTATGTAGGCTATTTTCAGGAGGTCTCAGGCAAGTCAATGTATTTAGCCACAACAGAAACTGCAGAGAAAGGCACCATCTAGTAGAAAGCAACTTGCTGTGTCTAATGTTGGTGCTGTGTACAGTTAGCCACATGTTTATCATGGTTCCAAGTAAAGGAAACCTTTAAATTCTGTTTTATACAAGCTTTTAGTAACACGAAAGCACATTCCTTTTTAAACAGATTTTATGTGTATGAATGTTTTGCCTGCATGTATATATGCCTAGTGCCCAAAGAAGTCAGATTCCCTGGGACCGGTGTTACAGGCGGTTATGGAGTTATGGCAGTTATGAGCTGCCATATAGTTGCTGGGAATTGAACCCAGGTTCTCTGCAAGACTAACAAGTGCTCTTAGCTGTCAAGCCAACTCTTCAGCCCTAAATTCCACTTTAAAATATTTAGGGCCATAGAATTTTTTAGTATGACTTTTGACTGACACACATACGCACACAGCTGAGGACTGAACCCGTGTCTTGCACTTCAAGCACTTTACCCAGGTTAAATCCCTAGCCCCATTTTTTTATACATATTAGAAGTGCTTTGAACGGAGTTTTGGATGATTTCTGAGCTACACAGCAGACTTAAAATGCATGCCCTTTTGGGGGGAATGATTGTGATCCTCTAAGGTGCATCACTTCTGCCTTGGGCAGGGTAGACTGTAGATGTAGCCAAGAGCGCTTTCTGGGCAGCATATGCAAGGAACGTAGATTCCATCCCAGCACTGCCTTTTTTAAAAGTAAATTGTGCCCTATTTCAGGAGCCATGCTCTATGAAGTGACCTCCTTATTTGACAAGTAGACAAGACCAAAGGGGTCCCAGACACTAAGGATTATGGTGTACATTCACACCTGCCATTGATGGTCTGTTTCTCTTCAACTCGGTGTCTCAGTTCACCCCCATCCTGAAGAGAGCAATGGAAGCCCTGAGTGAATATGTGCTGTTGATATGGGTACTGCTGTGTCAAGGACCTTTGCTTCAGACCATGGGAGAATGGCAAAGCCCTCCTGGCTTGAGTCCAAATGTTGATGGATTGTAGAGAAGTCCACCATAGCACCCCCACCCTCCCACAATATTTACACCCTGAAGACTTCCCCTGCAGAGGCTGCTCTTACAGAGATTAGCTAAGCCTGTGTCCTTGATCCAGCTGCATCCTGTAAACGCTTCTTGTTCATCTGTATGTGGTAGCACTAACTCTATGCTACTCCATATATCAAACTCACTTCCCAGGGGCTCCAGTTTCTCCACCACAGGGCCCAGTTTACGTGACCTGAGCTTTCCTGCGTCTGTCTGCTTTTCATTCCCTTTCTGCCCCACTCAGCTCCAACCCTGGAGCTGTGTGGGAGGAAGCTCTGTCCACTGGAGTCTCTTATGAGCAACTTGCCTTAATAAAACTGATGCTGATTTCATCACAGCAGATACACACATGGGCACATTCACAGTATAAGATAAGGATGAAAACTCACAGATACAGTATGGAGTATCAAGGTTACAGTTACAGGTGATCAACTTTAACATAGAAACTGCTAAACAGAAACATGTTACTGAGTTACAAAACAATGTATTTGTATACATCCAAGTAACCCACAAAGGCAGCACCCAGCAAGACTTAACAGTCTGCTATTATCAATCACTGAAATTTGTAGGAGAAAAAGAGGAGAGGCGTCTTTGTTCAGCTTGGATGGAGTCAGGACAGCCCAGTGACTGACACTTTATTGAGCAGTTAGACAGCTTTCTGTGATATGAACCCCTTTGAAACAATGCTTTCGGCTCAAAGAGGGCTCAGCTCTGGACCTCAGCAGTAAGCTTAGGAACAGGTATGCCATGCTGAGGAGCGGAGTACTACACAGCAGTAGAATGCTTCCATCTGAAGGGCCAGGGTTGTAGGGCAAGCCTGGCAGGTACAAGGCCCTGGATTCCTTCTGCAGCAGCATCAAAATGGGAAAGCAAAAGTTCAAGGGTACAGATAATTTATGCCAATTCAGATTTTAATTACATAGAATTCATAAAGCCATCTTATATAAGTTAGTGCCAGTTGAGTGGATGAGCTTACATTTCTCAAAAATGTTAAAGGTGAGCCACTGTTTCCTATTACAGAGAATACTAGGCAAGAGTCTTCAGATACAGGGACAAGTCAGGTTTGTCAAACTTCTGAAATACTAGTACATTCTACAAACTAGGTTCCAGAATATGAAATTAACAGCAAGATCCAATGGTTCAAAGGACTCAGCCTTTTAGAATACCAAAAATGACATGCCAGTGTCTACTGGTTATTAATATAATAAATGGTATTGACATTTCAGTGCAGCCCTAGGTCAAAGTGAGATTTTTACCCCCTGGCCTTCACATCATCTGTCCCCTGAAAGGACAGAAAAGGATCACTTAGATTCCTAGCATGGAAAAGAATGTATGGACACCCCACTGGCTCCCTCAGAGCCACCTCACCTGTCAGACCTCCTGATAGAGAAACTGTCAGGGAGTCAGGTTAAAATGCAATGTCTGAACCCAGGGGGACTCCTTCAGACCATACATACATCTACAATTTCGCTTCTGCCTATCATGGGTCCTGGCTCTTCTGTGACAACACTTTTAAAAAATGTAACATTTCTCATATATACAGAGTTCAAGGGGTGTCCCTATCACAAAATGCAAACACAATGGTCATCTGCTACAGAGTGTATTCTAATCTACAGAAAAAGGACCAGGACAAGCAAGAATCTGACGGGGTTAAAGTCAACATAGCTGCTCAAAACCCTGACCCTTTGACTCAGCAAGGGACCTTAGTCTTGAGTGTTTCTTTTACCACCATTTGCTTGTAGTTTATTGAAAGCTGATTTTTGTATGTAGTCATCTCAATAGAAAAATCTTCACCCACAAATAGAACGTAGAGTCTTTTTCTCACCATTGGAGAACAGAAAATATGACACTGTTAATTCCAGATTCTAAGAAAACTGTCCCAGGAGCCGGTGGCCACAGCCATGCCATCATCAGTCACACCTAAGCAGCTAACACGGTTGTCATGACCAGCAAGGACACCTACAAAGAAAAGTCAATACAGAGTTAAAACTGGAGTTTTAAAACTCAAGAGTTCTGCATTGCCATGCAGATGGTGATTAATAAAGAACAGGCACCCTGGGGACTGCTGCCAGGGAAAGTCAGGCACACTGACACACAGTAACATACCATGGGTTACTTGAATATTTAACCCAAAAATACATCAATTTGAGTTTTCAATTTTTGAAAAGTCATAATCTTTTTTTTTTTAAATTGAGAGATGTCTCATGTAGTCTAGGCTGATCTTGAACTTAGTATCCAGCCAAAGATAACCTTAAGGTCCTAATCTTCCTGAGTCTACCTCCCAAGTGCTAGATAACAAGCATGTATCACTGTACCTGAGGGTTTTGTAGTTTTTCTATCTAGGAAACCATGTAAAGGCAAATTTCACATCTCCAGTAAGTTCATGGTATTCCAGTTTTGCTATACTGAGCTGTGCTACTTTCAATAAAAACACATTTCTAAGTCGAAGTTCAATGCAGTATACTTCCCCAGAAGAATAAGACAGTTGCCTTCCATCCTATTTCTAAAATAGACCCAAATCATTCATTAGTTCTTTCTGTTCACCACCAAACACAAACTGGCTATAACTTAGTGAGGCCATGGAGCTCATTAACTCCTGTTTGTTTTGCAGTGACCTGAGACTCACCCATCCTCTTTACTGCACGGGACAGAATGAACAATTCTCAAGATTGGAGTAGCTGGGTGGTAGTGGTACACGCCTTTAATTCCAGCACTTGGGAGGCAAAAGCAGGCAGTTCTCTGTGAGTTTGAGGCCAGCCTGATCTACAGAGTGAATTCTAGGACAGCCAAGGCTACACAGAGAAACCCTGTCTTGAAAAACCAAACATTAAATAAATAAATAAATAAATAAATAAATAAATATAAATAAATAAATAAATAAATGTTGGCAGTAGGTAGTGCAGGTATGCTATTTAAAGTTTTGTTTTGAGATGGGGTCTTGATGTATAGCCCAGGCTGGCCTCAAATTTGTGATCCCCTGTCTCTGTCTCCTGAGTGTTAGGATCCCAGGCATACACCACTGCACCCTGCCAGCTTACCTTGGGGTACAGAAAATGTGTGCTGTGTTATAGTAACAAACCACACACAGCCATTTGATTCTTGGAGTATAATTTTAAATTAGTTAACATTAAAAAAAAATCACTCCATTTAATCCCAAGTCCAGCATGGTTGCTATGTTGTCTTTTAATGGGACCTGTTGAGGGTTTCTGTTGAAACTTGGGAGACTACCTGTGTCCTCAGAGGATTAGCCACAGCAAAAACCATGCTTCCTGTCAGGTTAGAGGATGATGGTTTAGCCTTGAGTGACAGCTTAGCATGGCATGATGGTGGCATTCACCAGCAGTCCCAGCATTGGAAGGCTGAAACATGGGGATATAGAGCTCAAGGCCAGCCTGGGCTTCATAGTGAGTTCCAAGCATAAAAACATGTTTCAGAATAATAAATAAGCAAACAAACCAGGATATAAGAAAACCGATTTGTGAAAGATGGCACCATTTTAAAGTCACTGTTCTTGACTCCTAATTTACCATTATAGGACCTAATGTCATTCTTCAATAGGGTATGTATTCCAACTGTCATCAAAGGCAATGAAGAATATGAAGAAGAGCCACCCAGCTGCTGTTCTGAAAGCTCCAGGATGCCCAGCAGGCCTCAGGGGTGGGGTGGGGGTGGGGGGAGCCTCTTCAGGCTTCCTGAAGATAGAACTTGCCATCACCAAATCACTAACCTGCCCGACCTCCTTTCAATGCGTCCCACACACTGCAGTTGAAGTCATCATAGCCGGCCAGCAGGAGGCGCCCGCTCTTTGAGAAGGCCACAGAAGTGATGCCGCAGATGATATTGTCATGAGAATACAGTAGTAGCTCTTGGTCTGCACGGAGGTCAAAGAGCCGGCAAGTGGCATCATCAGAGCCAGTGGCAAAGGCATATCCGCTTGGGAAGAACTAGAAACAAAACAAAAAAAAAAAAAAAAAAAAAAAAAAAAAGAAAAATCCCTAGACGAAAAACAATGGAGGCAGAGAACCTGGCATTGGAGGTGTGGTGAGATTTGTCTACTCCAGAATAGATGCCTACAGAGACCATGTAGGCAGAGAACCTGGGATGGGAGGTGGCTGCTGAGAAGTTTGTTTTTTTGTGAGCCAGGGTCTCACCAGGTAGCCCAGGCTGGCCCAGAACTCACAACACCCCTGCTCCAGCCTCCTAGGTGCTAGAGTTACAAAAGTGTGAGTCACCACACCTGGCCTAATACATATCTATTTTTTAATATCCTGGGCTTTAGTTTTAGTTAAAGCGTTAAGACTGAATAGCATATGCAAAGTGTGCTGCCAATTGTTCACACAGTGTTAATAACACTGTCCATAGTCCTTTAGTTGTGTAATCAAAACATTTCAGTTCAGGGTTACTCTATGCTGTCACTTAGGAGTCAGGAGCAGTAGGCTGCACTGCACTATGACAGCAAGCATGGACTGCATGTCTATACTAAGATTAGCATCAGTGCAGTGGCCTCCCAGGACCAGGGGCCACCAGGATGCCTAAGAGGAGGTTCCTAGACACAGGTTAGAAACAGAGCAAACTAAAACTCCCTGTGCTGATCATAAGTCAAGTATTACTATTTATAGGCTGTTTGTTTAAATATTCCAGAATCCTATTATGAGAAATAAATTGGAAAGATTTTAGAAAACACAGAACACTGGAGATGGGAGAGGGCTCAGCAGACGAAGCACATTGTATGCCTGGGAAGACTAGACTGGGTAAATCATCATGCCATGCCCCAGCACCCACATAAGTTCTGGCTGAGTGTGGGGACCTGCCGCATGGGGCAGCAGCGATGGGATCCCCAGAGCAAGCTAACTAGCTAGACTAGTATAGGTGAACTCTGGGTTCAATTGAGAGATCCTGCCTTGGTGAATAAGGTGAAGAGTGACCAAGGACACCCAACATCAGCCTCTGGCCTATACACACACACACACACATGAACACCATACCTGCACACACATCACATGCGTCACACATGCAAAAGAACAAGAAACACACAACTTCCACTGGCTTGGTATTTGAGTATTATTTTCCAGTGCAGCCCTAGTCGATGTGCTTTTCATCTGGCACATTTCCCGCTGCTGGGAATCGCTTTCTTGGGCCTACTTTTGTTTTTTGCAAGTGAGCTGTTGATGTTCATTTCTTAATGTGCTTGAACAAAATGGCTTGGCTATAAACTGATTTATCTGCTACAAATGTGACTCTGAAGCATGTTTGGGTTATATGTAGTCAGGCTTGTTTAGCTTTCACCTAGATATCCTTCATTCATTTTGTTTTTGAGACAGGCGCTCCTGTATCCCAGGCTGACATTGAACTCACTGAGCAGCTGGAGATGGTCTTGTCTTGAACGTCTGATCCTCCTGAGGAGTGAGATTTCAGGCACATGCCACCACACCCAGGTTTCTTTGATTACTTGCTTTACATGGGTGTATGGGAGTACACACAATGAAACCAGAGTCAACATCAGGCATTTTCCTCAATCACTATCTCATGTTTTTGTTGTTTAGATGAGGTCTCTCATAGAACCTGCATCTATGCAGCAAGCCCCAGGACTCCTCTCTGCTCCCCCAAGGCTGGAATTTACAACAGGCAGTACTGCCATGCCAGCTTTGTTACTTGAGCTCTGTGGGTCCCAGTCAGGTCCTCACTGGGGCACAGAGGATGCCAACTGAACCATCTCCCCAGGGCCCTTCATTACTCCTAATGAGGAGTCAATAATTACTTTAGTTCTTTTAATTTTATATAGTAATCTTATCCATCTGGAGTCTATTTGATAAACAGCCTTCAAACGAGGGCTCTAACTTAATTTTCTTAATACTTAAGCAGTTGTCCAGCTGTTAATTAATTTTTCTATTGATCTGCTGTATCATTCACTAAATTCCTGGCGACAACCTTGTGTTCTGTTTCTGTGTAGGGGATTAGTCTTGGTCCTCATATATGCCAAACAAGTGCTAAGAACCACTGAACTACACTACTAGGTTTTAAAATATTAACATTTTAATAACTAATAATTTAATATTATAATCTACCCTTAGGTTTTAAAATAAGTTATTTGATGGGTATAGTTGCTTCAATTAAATGTATTTCTAATTATTAAATACAAATATGTCATAATTATATTCTTTCAGCTTCCTGACATTTCTTTTTTCAGTCTCAGATCTGACTGTACAGTTGGAAGTTTGAGAAGGATTTAGGTAGTGTCAGTGTTATTTCCAGCCTGTTAGTAAGCATGGGGACAGTCCCCCACTGTTTCACTAACAGTCATAGGTTCTTGGAAATGTTTTCCTCATATTCCTGGAAGGCTCCAGGACTGGGACCATAAATTCTTCCTTCTGCCCACTCTGTGCCTCATAGTTTGGTTACCATGAGTGTCGAAGTCTTCTCTAACCTCTTCCCTCAGCTGGTGTTCCTGGCCACTTCCTTCTATTTATCCCATCTCTCCAGGCCACTCTCGGCTTTGTTGCTGTTTGTTTTTGTTTTCTGAGATAGGGTTCTCTGTGTAGCCCTAGCTGTTCCAGAACTCACTCTGTAGATCAGGCTGGCCTCAAATTCGGAGATTAAAGGCATGCACCACTGCCACTGCCACAACTACCTGGCTCCACTCACTCTTGGCTTTTTGAAGGCAGAGTTTCACTATGTAGCCCAGGCTGGCTTCAAATTTACAGCAGTTCTCCTGCTTCTGTCTCTCAAGTGCTGGGACTAAGGCATGGTCTCAGTCCTAAGGCCTAGGCTAATTATACAATATTTTTCTTTCAACTATTTCATTTCAAAAGGGGCCTTAGTGTGTACTAACAGCTTAACTAAGATGATGCTTAGGGTCTTGTCCGCACAAACAAACTATGAAAACAGTCTCTGTAAATTCACTATTGTAGGGGCTGGGAGATAACAGTTGCTCTGCATGCATGAGGACATGGAGTTTGAACACCCAGATGCTGTTTGACAGTTTGAGCATGGCTGAGCATGCCTGTAACACCAGCACTGTGGGCATGGCTGAGTGCACATATTACCCCAGGACTGTGGGCATGGATGAGAGCCTGTTAACCCCAGCACTGTGGGTGTGGCTGAGTGCACATGTAACCCCAGGATTGTGGATGTGGCTGTGTGTGTCTGCATCCCCAGCACCGTGGGCAGAGATAGGTAGATGACCCTGAGAAATTGCTAATGAACCAGCTCAGCCAAGAAGGCAAGCTTCCAGTTCAGTGAGACCTGCCTTAAGCGATAAGGCAGCCAGTTACAGAGGAAGACACCTGATCTTGTTTTGGGCTTCTGCCTGTGTACAAACAGATCTATTCGCCCCATACTTACAAGCAAGCACTACACATTACCCACACACTAAATGTAAAATAACCATAGTAGTAATAAATTAACTTTTAGCAAACCAAAAAGAAAAAAACAAACAAAATGAACATCTGCCTAGTATTCATTCGAGCCTGGGTTCAATACTCAGTACCACACAGACAGACACGCCCAGGGGATCAGACATAGGAAGGGTAGAGGTAGGGGAGAGAAAAGAAAACCACACATTTCAATAGGTAAAGGGCAAGTGTTTGCTAAAATTCAACATTTGTTCCTGATTTTTAAAACTTATAGCACTTGCTGCTTTTCCAGCTGACTAGGGTTCCATATCCATCAACCACAACAAGTTGTTTATAATCGACTCTAACTCTAGCCCTAGGGTATTCCATCTTCAGTGACTTCTTCTTCTGGCCTTCAGGGGCGCCTGCAACACCTGTGCAGATGCGTACAAGTGTACACACACACACACACACACTGTAAATCTCTTAAAAATCCTTGGTAACTGAATATAAGAGGCCCACTCAGCCTTGTGAAGGTGGCCCATATGGATGGGGTAGGTGTGCCTCCTAGGGGATGCTGTCAGTATCAGCAGGCTGACCCGAAAGAGGAGGACTGAGTATCTGTTCTCTCTGAAGCTGTGTTGGTCAGTTTTTGTCCACTTGACACAAACTAAGAGTCATTTGGGAAGAGGGAATCTTAACTGAGAAGATGCCTCCATCTCCATCGGATTGGCCTGTAGGCAAGTCTATGAGGCATTGTGCTGAAGAATGATTGATGTGGGCGAGCCCAGTCCACAATGCTGTGTGCCACCCCTGGACAGGTAATCCTGGGTTATAAAAAACCAAGCTGAACAATCCATAGGGAACAAGCAGGAAGCAGCACTCCTCCATGGCCTCTGCCTCTGCCTCTGCTCCTGCCCCTCCAGGTTCCTATCTGGAGTTCCTGCCCTGACTTCCCTCAGTGATGGACTGTTACCTGGAAGTGAAGGGACCAGCTTTCCTTTTAGCAGCCATAATGGCAGAACACGTGCTTCTATGACCTTGTCCTAGACACTAGAAAGTCAGATGCCTGCCTTGTGACAAGGAACCAATCAGAAGTTAGCTGGTGGCGCTATGCTTTACGACCCTGGGTGTGCTTTATGGACAAGCGCACAGCAATGACGCACAAAGCATAGCAACCACCCTGGGAGGGCCTATGGGCCATAACAGCCAGTTGACCAATCGACATAGGGCAAGCCCTCCAAGCCTGGAGGCACACCAATGGTGAGCCTGTGTGTATCCCTAGACACTCCCCTTACGCTGTCCTATAAGATCTCTTGGGAGGCCCTAGGAGCCGTCTTTTGCTAGCCATCCGCCATGGCGGGTGGGTGAAAGACCCGAGCTAACATGGGGTTAGCTCGTTAAATTACAATAAAGCCTCGTGCAGTTTGCATCAAGCTCTCGAATCCGCCTGGTGATTGGGGTGACCGTAGTCGTGGCCTGGGACCCCGGATATTTGAGTTTTCGGGGATCTAACAGAAGTATAAACCAAATAAACTCCATGAAAGCAATTTGTTATAATGGTGTCATGTTCACACTTTAGACACATAGTAAATTTCTGAGAGGTGGAAGCAGTAGTATCAGGAAGATCAGGAGTATGAGGCCATCCTCAGCTACATAGCAAGTTAGAGGCCATCCTGGGTTACATGAGACTCTGTCCCCCAAACAAACAAATGTCCTTTACTTACACTGACAGCATTGATATCTGAGATGTGTCCTGTGAAAGACTGTCTACACATCCCATCTCGGACATCCCACAGTTTTGAAGACGCATCACAAGCACCAGAAACAAAGGTCTTCAAGTCAGGACTCAGTGAGAGACTCATCACATCACCCGAGTGTCCTGCGAACGTTGTAGTCTGTTGCCCAGTCTCGATGTCCCACAGAGCACTGTGAATACAAGGACAGACACAAGATGACCGCACCCCTCCCCAGTGTATGTGCCCACTAGGTCTGGCTTCTTTTGGGATGAACTTACCAAGTTGTGTCTCCTGAACTTGTGATGATTTGTCCATCATCTAAGAATCGGCAACAGGACAAATAGCCTGCAGCAGAGAGCAGCAAATGTCAGGTCACGGATCCAGTGACACAGAAACAAGATAAAAACCTAAACTCCAGCAATAGGACCTTGTCCGTGGGACAAACAGCTTTAATGATTCCCATTCTTCACTGTTTTCTGAGGTACTCACTGTATCAGTGGGCATTCCAAGTGGCCACGTCAAGTATGGCAGCCTATTAGCAGCACAGTGTGTTTACCTTTGACACTGTGACACAACACTATCATCTACAAAATTCATGCTTAAGAACCATATAATTAAATTCTTTAAAATTACGATAAAATAAGTTTTTTTTAAAATTTTCAGTATGTTTCTGATAGTGCTGGGTTGCATTCATAGCTATCTGGGCTGCATGTGGTCTGTAGGCTGCAGGTTGGATACACCTGAGCGAGGGTGTTCCTGAACCAGTACCTGTAACCTATAACCCATGGCAGAATGGACCCAGCACTGGAGAAAACCCTTAAAATACCATGAAGGCTTTATGGGAAAGGTGACATCTGCAGGATTCCTGTCCATAAGCATCTTCAGAGCCCACAAATGGCAGGGACTCTGTAGAAATGTGGTCAACTGGCAGCACCCAAACCACAGACAGGAAGGATACGAGTAGCAGGGACCTCCTAAGGAAGAGGTCTGGGGAGTGAACATTGCTGCATAGTGACAGTGCTAGTGACTAATGCTTCCACCAGCAGAGACAACACAATCCTGAACCTTGCTCCAGGGCAGCAGAAGTACAGAAGACTGTACTTGCTTCCTTTTGTATTTTTTATGATTGTTTGGATTTTTTGGGTAGCAAATTTATCATGTTTACAAAACAATAGTTATATTTGAAAGAAAAAAATCATAGGGGGTAGGTGTATACCTCCACGAGAGAACGTTCAAGGCCCCAGTGGCAACCTCAGCACCAAACTAAAGCAGCAAAATGACTGTCATCATGTGCACTCTGAGAGTGAATACTTTTTAAATCACAGTAATTTCTGCTTCCCTTTCCATCTGGCTACGTGAACCCACTCCACCATGTAGCCTTGGTGGGCTGTCAGAAAGCGGGAGGCTGAGGAGGACAGAGCTGCATTAAATCACTCACCTGTGTGCCCTGGTAGTTCTCTGCTCACCCGCACGTTCCCTTCACGAGTCTTCAGGTTGTATATGGAGCAGATGTTGTCCAAGCCTCCACAGGCGACATAGTTTCCAGATGGGGCATAGGCACAAGTCATCACCCAGGAGGACCTCAGCGGAATGGCATGCATCTACCACACACATAATGCACAGAGGCAGGGGGGCTGTTAAAGGGAAAGACTTCAAGGGCAGCCATTGCATTCCTAACCTTGCTTAGGATGAGGCAAGCACTGCTGGAAACCAGGCACAGCGAAGAACAAACAGGCAGGAGCTCTGGAAAGGAGGCCATGAGACCTGGAAACACCACAGGCACACAGGATGCCTCTTTCTGTGTTAGCAGGTCACTGGGATTTGAAGTGTTCATTTTAGGAACAGTTTTATTTTTAATTACATGTCTGCGTGGTAATTAAGTGCAGGTGCACTCAGACTCACAGCCACTGGACCCCCTGGAGCTGGCGCTACAGGGAGTTTGTGACCTCTGGATGTAGGTTCTATGAACCAAACTTGGGGTCTCTGGAAAAGCAGCAAGAGCTTTTAGCCAAGTGAGCCATCTCTCTAGCAACACCCCCTTCCAATGTTTTAAATAAAAGCAAAGCTATACGGATTTTCCTTTTGGTTTTTGAGAAATTATCTTAATAGTTAGCCCTGTTGGCCTGGAATTACTTTAGACCAGACCGGACTCCAAGTGATCTGCCTGTCTCTGTCTACTGAATAAGATGTAAAATATGAATGAAGACTTTAGCAAAGTCATTGGCACAATAATGCTCAAGAGAGGAATCTCCTATACCTGAACACTGAACCAGAAAAGGGCAGGGGCTGAGAAGTATCACAGCCAACTCCAATGGCTTTTCCGGGGGGGGGGGGGGCTGCATGAGTGCCCTTGTATTGACAGGCAACGTTCCAGGATTTCCAGCTTACAAGCAGGTCAAGTGGACAGCTGAAGGTTTTGATTTACCAAGGCTAACCCCATACAGGGTGTCCACATCCTGTGATACTACCATGCTTCCTCTTGACCTAAAATAATATCAAAAGTGTATCTGGGGTTATTCTGTTTGTCTCAGGAAACCAAATGGATTTGAATGACACTAGCTTAATACCAATTAGGATAAAACCTGTTGGCTCACTAGCTTAGTTCCCTTTAAGTCTCAATCAGGCTGAGTGTGCAGACATGGACAAAGCACTTGCCTTGTGTGGATAAGGTTCTCGGTCTAACCCTTTGGGGGAAGGGCTTAAGGACTGTTCATATCAGCACACACTGTTTCTGACTGCTTAGTCAATCACTGCCAATGTATATATGGCACAGGAGTACTTGACTTGTAAAGGATGTCCCCCATATTTTCACTGCTACCCAGCAACTTGAAATCAAGGTTTCCTTATGCTGGGTAAAGTAAGAAAATAGGGATCTTTCACAACTAGATCTCAACAAATTCAATGTGTCTTATCTTCTGAGTCATCCAGAAAAAAAAGTCGTCTCTGGAGTAAACCAAGGAAGAGCTCTCCAGGAACCATCACCTATAATCTACCACAAATAAAAATGTCAGTGCTATTTTATTCCAGGAACTGGACATTTTAAAAGTTCACATCTATATAAAAAATGACAAGTCTTCACAAGCCAGGCATGTTTCTACATAGCTGTAAACTCAGTACTGTGGAGGTCGAGTTAAAGAGCTAAAGGCTAACATCAGCTACACAGTGATTTCAGGCTAGCCTGGGCTAAATAGGTGCCTGTTTCAGAAAGATAGAGAGGAGGGAGGGATGGAGGGAGGGAGCGAGGGAGAGAGAGAGAGTGGGGGTGGAGGGAGAGAGAAAGAGACAGAGACAAAGAGGGAGGGATGGAGGGAAACTCAAACACACACTGAAATTGTTCTTATAGCTTGTCCCTAGAAATAAAAACAGCTCAACACTAAAAGCCAACTGTTGTAAGAGCTGGTCTGTATCTAGAATAAATGTATCTCAGAAGGAGTGTCTCTGAATAAGAAAGAACTGCTAGGCAGTAAACAAATACAAGATCATTTAAAAGAAAGATAAATAAATTCTACCTTATTTGTCGTATAGCTATCCCAAATAATTAATTTTCCATCTTGGGATGCACTGACTAGTAGCCTAGAGAAGAAACACAAAAATAATTTGACACTGAGAGGAAAAAAAAAGTTGTTAATTATACATTTTATCTTTGAAGAACACCAGGAAGGTTTTCCTAATAAAACCTGTATACTAAAATAACTTTTCTTCTAACTTTTAAAAACATTATGTTCCATGCCAAACACATTAAACAGAAAGCGTAATTTATTTAGCTACTGACTGAAAGTGTCTATGATTCAGTTTCTCCCTTGTGACATTTTAGTTACCCATGAAGGTCTCAGTAGATATTAGTGGAGTGGCTTACTACTGACTGACTTAAGTTTAATGACTTAACAGTAGATCCAGGCCCAATATCTACATCCCATCCAGTCCAGGCTGTCACCTGAGAGCCTGGGAGTGAAGGGCAGTGCTGTGGGTACTGTTCAAGGCACAGCTGTGTTGGAGGCCATCCGCCAACTTGTGAGGTAAGTCACTTGCATATTTTGGTTTATTACCAAGTAAATAAAAGATGTCAAAGATATGACATAAAAAAGGTACTGAAGAGATAAATGGAATGCATTATGGCTTGTTGCCTTAATAAAAGGACAATGTGTGGGCTGGGTGGCGATAGCAAGTCTTTAATCCCAGGCAGAGGCAGGTGCAGGCACAGGCTGTGAGCTGGAGGCCAGCCTGGTTTACAAAGCTAGCTCTAGGACAGCCAAGGATACACAAAGAAACCCTGTCTCAAAAAAACAAAACAAACGAGCAACAAACAAAGGACAGTGTGTATGTGTGCTTGTACACACACTTGAGTGCAGGTGCCATGGAAGCCCAGAGGTGTCAGATCCATTGGAGCTGGAGTTGCAGGTGGTTGGATATAGGTGCTGGGAATCAAACTTGGGTCCTCTGGAAGAGCAGTACATATTCTTAACCACTAAGCCTTCTTTCCAGCCCCAGAAACTGCAATTTCCAAGAGCAAAAGATAAAATATATCCTAGGAGGAGGGTAGTGATGAGTGAACAGAGGCAGGAAAATTCTGGGAGTCCTGGGACCTGTGGGCCTTCCAGTCACACAGCTGAGAACACAGATGGGGCTTTGCTCCACCAATTTATGAATTCTTGGCTACATGGTCACTGGATTTTTGTTGTTGTTCTGTTCTGGGATTCTGCTTTGTCACTACATATAAAGCATAAAAGATATGAAAAAGGTACAATTACAAAACAACTCAGTTTTCTTCTCTGTAGGCAAAGGGTTCCAGTCTGACTGAAGGGGAGGCCCAAAGGTGGGTTGACAGGGGCCCAAGGAAAACTTGGAAATCAACTGCATCCATTGTGCTGACAGAAGTAGTAACCCAGGAATTAACCAGCAGAATGTATGGAAAGGGGAGGCAGGTTACTGAATGACAGTTTATTTTTGAGAAAAAAAATTTAAGAAAACAATCACTAACATTGTTCAGTAATTAGATTTTGGGTTAAAAGTCTATGGTATCAAAGCAAATTTATTTTTAATTGTTAATTCATATTTATCTATTTATATGTGTTGGGGGGGTCAGAGGCCAACTTGCAGGAGCCAGATCTCTCTACTACAAGTTCTGGGGAGCAAATTCAGGTCATCAGGTGGAACAGCTTTTCACCCACTCAGACATCTTGCTCCCAGGGCACATATTTTTTTATCTTAAATTAAAAAAAAAATCTGCCTTAGCTTTATGTTAGTTGTCAATTTATAATTTTATGTCTTCCCTCCTAAGAGGTACATACTGTGTTAGTGATTTCAACACCCACCCCACTTTTAGATCAAGATGATATTAAACTCAGAAACAGAAACAAAATGATTAACAAACACAAACAATCATAGAATAACAGCATATGTGTGTTAGGCTGGGGAAGTAAAAGATTATTCAATTTTAATCTTTAATCTTAGCACTCAGGAGACAGAGGCAGGGGGATCTCTGTGCATTTGAGTCCAGCCTGGTTTACAGAGTGAGTTCTAGAACATCCAGGGTTACACAGAAAAACCCTGTCTCAAAAAAAATAAAAATAAAAAAAAGATGTATTCAATCAAAATATTCGTTTGTATAATTCAGTCTTTGTGGAGTTAGTTGATAAAGTATAGTAACATCCACAGTTTAGATGTAGACACACTTAAGTATTTGTTTACTAACTGGTATTTTAATACTAATAAACAGTAAGACCAGGGTTTGGCTAGGAATGGTGTGCTTACCTTGTCAAGTCCACAGGAAAGGCCCCCTACCCAAATTCCAAAAGACTGAAGGGACAAAAGGCTGTCTGTGCTGCCTATTAGCATATCAAGGCCCTTGCTTGCCTCCAGGCTCCCTCATCACACAAGTACCCTTTACCTTACACACTTCAGAGTCCAGGCTGGCTCTTCTCACCTCCCCCCATCCTATACTCCATTCACCTCACAGGCTTCCCTCCCCCATCTCCTCATTCTCTTTATAACCCTATGCTTGTTCTCTGTCCCCCTCCCCCATCTCTGTGCTCCGCTCCTGCTCTCATAGCCAGGTCCAGTCTGTGGCCATGCTCAGTCTACTTCTCTCTCTCTGTTCTGGACTCTTCCAGATGCATCTGGGTGTTTCCCCTAACCATACCTCGGAGCAGTCATGTCTGTTTATACATACCTGTAATTCTAGCATTCAGGAGCCTGAGTCAGGAGGACACTGAGGCTAGCTGGAGCTACTTAGCAGTAGTGAGTCTCAAAAAAAAAAAAAAAAAAAAAAAAAAAAACCACTCCCCAAACAAAACAGTTCTGACATATTGAAAAAACACATTATAACACTTCTAAAAGATGATGCTGTTATAACGGCTTCACTAATCTGCTTGGAAGACAATAAATCACATAAGGTAGACCAGTCAAAGAACTGCTCCTCCAAAAACACCCCAAAGGGGCCTGGTTTGCTGACCAGGCCTGTTAGAGATAAGTAAAATTTAAGATGCTAGGATGTAAATGTTATTCTCCAGGACTGACCGGCCATTAGGCTCCATTCCCACAACAAGGAGACAACTCTGATTTACCACCAGCCATTAGGCAGTCTTTATCTCAAAGAACATTCCTTGGACAGGCTGCAAGGAGCAGCACAGGGTCACAACAAAGTTAAGTCCTAGCTAGCCATAAAGCCCCAGTTTTCCTGAGAACATCATAATTCTGCCAAGTGAGCAAGATGACCCAGGGTAACAACTATTTGAAAAAGTATACACTGGTATACTAAAATGGTTCTGGCAATATGTAGTATCTTTGCTATGTAAATCTCTCATCTGCCTACATGGCCAGACTTGAGGGCTCCTGTCTGTTTAAACTGTTCAAAGTCCAACCTGTGCCGGGACCTGAAAGAGAGTTAAGGATGACAGTGTATGTGGAATGCATAAGCTTAAGGTGTTAGTGTTATGAGTTAGTGGAATCTTCTATCCAGGGTCAGTTCCACCCTGAGCATTTGCCATAGAACTTTCTCTGGCAAGCATTTCCACGTGTGCAGAGTGACTTCTCACTGGGAAGGCATAGTGATTCTAGAAGAAAGAAACCTTCCTCTAAATAGTTTCCACAGATCACTAGACAAAGATCTTTTGGGGAAGCAAATTCATTTTTCATATTAGAAACTTGAAGCAGTATTTATTGGCATTAATCCTACTCTGTATGTTTATGTCTATTTGTGGCCCACATGTGGAGATCAGAGGACAACTTGCCAGGCAAACACCTTCATCCAAGAAGCCATCTTGCTTGCTCTAAAAACTCTGTGAACTTCAAGCTGAGGATACAGCAAGGAGGAGGCCCTGGGTTTATCCCCACACTGGAACAAACAGCTCTCAACCTCTGAAGTGTTAATGAATATTCACTCCTAGAGCAGGAAACTTGTTCATAATTGATGCCTTTTCTACAATACTGCACAAATAAGGTTTTGAAGAGAGGAAATGCAAACAACGAGTCTTAATGAAAAAACTCCTACGGGCAGTTTAGAAACGACAGTCACTAACCTGGAATCATATCCCCAGTGCATGGCGTAGATCTTAGCCAGGTGCCCCCGCAGCGTGCGCCTTGTTCGCATTTGTATTCGACCCACCGAGTCCATATTAGATGTGATCTTTAGAAAGTGACAGTAACATTACTCTTTGCCTTAGACGAGTTAGTAGATAAAAAGCAGAAACAAATCCACAGTAGCTGATGGTGATTTAGTACAAGAGTACAACACAACCATGACTGACACAGGTCATGCTGTGCTGTGTGCTGCTGTACGTGAGGACACCTTTCCAGAGGAGGGGCTGAAGTAAACACACACACACACTCCCAAACTTTAGCAAAGCTCCAACCAAGAAGCATGGCTGGGCAAGCTGGACAGGTTCTGAACTGCTCATCAAGAGAGCTGTCTACCACATATGCCAGCCTACAAACACTTTAAAGCTTTTACTTGCTGCATGTGCACTGTGTGTGTATGTGTGCACGCATGTGTGTGCCTGAGTGTGCCTGTCTCTGTGTGTGTGTGTATGTGTGTGTGTGTGTGTGTGTGTGTATAGGTGGGGGTACATGCTGAGGTCAGAGGACAACTTTGTGGAGCTCTTTCTCCTTCCACCTTACTCAAATTCTGGGGGTACAATTGAGGTCTTCAGGCTTGCATAGCAATTGCCTGACCTGAAGCCATCTTGTCAGCCCCTATCAAACAGTTTATAAAGAACTACAAGAGAGGTGGCTTGGGTCTCTCAACACAAAGCAACAATAAACACCAGAAGCTCTTACTACCCTGACTTGACACAGTGCATATGTACCCAGCTGTCACAGTGTGCCCACAAGTATGGACATACAATGTTTTGATAGGAAAAAAAAACAAAAACAAAACAAAACAAAACAAACAAACAAAAAACACCAGCCACAAAGGGAAACTAGAAAGAAGTGACTAAAGTAAACATTTGTAATTGTGTATAAGAAAGCCATGGAGCTGGAGAGATTCCTCAGCAGATAAGAGCACTGGCTGCTATCCCAGAGGACTCAGGTTCAATTCCCAGCAGCCACATGGCAGCTCACAGCCATCTGTAATTCACTTCCAGGGGAATCTGACTCTTTCCTCAGGCCTCTGAGGGCAACACACACACACACACACACACCACACGGTGCACAGAAAAAGGCTTACTCAGCATATACCGAAAAGACTGGGAAAGTGTGTAAGAATAAGTATGACTAGATGCTTCTGTGTGTCTCCACAGCACTTGCTGTTCCACAGACAGGTGTCTATTTCAGCAGTGTATTTGTGGATAGCACCTTCAGTAACAAGTCTGAATGTCACTCATACTGTGCTACTTCATGTGAACTGTCGACATGAGCTGGGGACACTTTACCTGAACCAGTGTGGCATCATTGCAGGCCTTCCTGGCATCCTAGAGCAAAGAAAGATGATGACATATTAAGACGGGGGTGGGGGCATCTAAATAGGACAAACTTGTATTTATTGAAAATAAACCTTTAATGTATCACATCTTCTTATTCTTAAATTTTTATGGAATAAACTTTATCTAACATAAAAGGAGCCATTTTAAGGTAAGCAATTTAGTGTTTTTTCAGTACATTCAGAATTGAACCACACTATGATCCAATCTAGGCCATGTCTACCGTATCTATCTTTTCACAAAGAAATTCTGTCTACCTTATCCCCCTTCTCTGCATGCCTCGGCTTCTCCTCACTCCACTCTGTCCCTTCAGTGTGGATCTGCCCATCAGACCTCTCTTGTAAACCAAATCATACAGTACATGGCTTCTTCCACCTTGCATGTTTCCAAGGTGCAGTGACGTTACTGCAACAAGCAGTGTTCTTCTGTTTTAAGGCTGGTGATTCTAATGGACAACTTTCAGCATTCTATCTGGTACTTGAGATTTTTGGACATAGATTGTTTCCACTTTTCAGTTATTACAAAGCATGGTCTCATGTTTTCCATCTCTTTGGAAATTTTACATGCTATTGTTCAGAAATGCTGCACCAGCGATGTTCAGGGCTCTGTGTGTTTAGTTACAGTCACCTTAGTTGTGAAGTATCTCACTGTGGTTTGGGTTTTATTGAGAATCTTTCCATGCATTTCCTCACTGTATGTGTGTGTCTATCTGTCTGTCTCTGCATGTGTGTGTGTGTGTGTGTGTGTGTGTGTCTGTCTGTCTGTCTGTCTGTCTCTCTCTGTGTGTATGTGTCTGTCTTTGTGTGTGTGTCTGTCTGTCTCTCTGTGTGTGTGTCTATCTGTGTGTGTGTGTGTGTCTGTCTGTCTGTCTGTCTGTCTGTTGTGTCCATCTGTCTGTGAGTATAAAACTGTGTGTGTACATCATTGGTGTACATCTGTGTTTGTGTGTGTGCTTGTGTATCTGTTTCCATGTCTTTGAAGGGATTTCTATTTAAAGCTTTCCCAACTTTTAGATCAGGTTGTCTTTTTATTGTCCAGATATAGTAGTTCTTTATATATTTTAGATACTTGACCCTTACAAGATGTACAATTTTCAAACTTGATAGTTTTTAAAATATACCTTATTTTTATGTGTGTGTGCGCGCACGCGTGCCTGTGTGTGTGCATGTGTGCCTGTATGTGTTGCCTGCAGAAGTCAGGAGAGAGTGTTAAATCCTTGGAGCTGGTTATAGGTGAGTTGTGAGTCTTTCCTGATGTGAGCTCTGGGAACAGAACTTGGGTCTTCTGCAAAAGCAGCAAGTGCTCTTAACCACTGAGCCAGTCTTCTGGCCCCTTGATGAGAATGAATGAATATATACATATTCATATATATGTGTATACATATGTGTATATTCATTCTCATCATTACACTTGTCTCTCAGTTAGATTGGACATTCTATTTTCATTCATTTAAATTTTTTACTTTGTATGTGGGGCGGGGGCATGCTCACCACGGCACATATGTGAAGATCAAAAGGCAGCTGTCATGAGTCAGTTCTCTCCTTCCATAGTGTGGGTCCCAGTGATAGAACTCTCAGGCCATCAGGCTTGGCAGCAAGCACCTTTACCCACTGAGCCATCTCACTGGCCCTAGGCATGCTACTTGTTTTTCTACTCATTTTTCAGTGTCAAGTGTCATTTGCCAGCATGGGTACTTGTTTGGAATGATTTGGGGGAAGAGTTCTTTAGAAGAATGATAAAAACAACTTAACCATTTCCATATTGTTTCCTTAAGAAAGGATCCTGCTTTGCCCAAGCAGGCTTTTGAACTTGCTATGTAACAAAGGATGACCTTGAACTCCAGATGCTCCAGTCTCTATCTCCTGAGTGCTGAAGTTACAAATGTGTGACATCACAACTAGCTCGGGCCAATCATTTCTAATCTCATGAATGACTTAATATGTGTTGACCTGAAAAGTTTCTGCACCACAAATAATCCAAATCAGACCAAATCAAACAAAATTAGAAAAAGCCCACATTTAATGGATAAAATGCTCCCAGATGGCCTTCCAGCCCCCAGAGAGGAGACGGGAAAGAGAGACTGTTTTCTGGGGGACAGTTTAAACAGCCTCTGGGAGTGATCTTGAGCATCTCTGGGGGAGGGGCCATCATTTGGCGGTCTTTCTGAGAAGCAGCAGGGTTTGGAGAGACACAGGGGAGGGGATTTGGGTGGAATTTCCACAGGAATATTCCAGACTCTTTGGGTATATGGATGCCAGGGGCTGGAGTGAAGATTTCACTATAACAACTGGATAAACTAATAAATGGTGTTTACACACTGCTGAAACTAAACTAAGCAGGCAAGCTTCAAAGTGGAACACTTCCTACCTGGATCTGGTTCCGCAGCTGCTCGGCTTCCTGCCTCAACTGTTCCAGTTCGCTCATCCTTTGTGACTGGTCTCTTCAGGAGTCTCACGTGAAGAACTGGGGGTGGGAGGCAATTAATTTGTATTTTAATCTACATGTAAAGCATGGACACATACCTTTTCAGTCCTTCCAAATGTAAACAAAACAACCAACATTACTGGAACTTAAAATTGCTTAATAAATAAACAACTAGATCATTTACAGAAGGATTTTATGCAAGAGTATGACATGAAAGTTGTCAATACCAACACGGAGTCATTTCTGCCAACCCTTCCATGAAGAAGGTGCGTGTCCATACACATGCATACCTATGAAGGAATTTCAGAAATAAACTCTCTGTGAAGGAGAGCCTGCATACATATATGCCCACAAAGGAATGCCCAGGAACTTCTGCAATATCCCACGTAAGTGATTTGAATGTAGCTAGCTCCCTCAAGAGCCCACACCAGCTCCAGACACAGCCAAGTAAGCGATGGTCTTTGTTTCCAGCTTAGGTAGACATTCCTTTTGTTCTCTTCCTCCTCTTTCCTTTTTCCCCTTCCCCTTTTCTTATCCCAACATCCTCAAATGCATATATGGTATTCCAGATACCTACCCTTGCTATTCTAGAAAATCCATGGTATGGAGAGTGTCAGATCCAAAAGAAGCCCAGGACAAATGTCTGCTGTGGCATCTATTAGCACACCAAAGCATGTGCTGGCCTCAGGCTTACTCAGCATCACAACTGCCCATGGCTCTTCTCTGTGCTTCTCACTCCACCCCTACCCTAAATGTCACCAGCTTATTGGCTTCCCTTCCCCTGCTTCCCATTCCTATATAACCTTGGTCCTTTGACTCCCTCTCTCTTGGCCTTCTCCTCTTTCCTTTCTCCTTTCTCGCTCCCTTCACCATTCTCTTTCTCTCACGGCCCAGGCCAGTCTGTTGGCCATGTTCAGTGTACTGCTTTCTCTCCATGCTCTGGACTCTAACAGTTGCCTCTGGTTGTTCTCTCCCTTGTAGCTACAACAGAAACCTTCTTCTCAACCATATCTTGGAGCAGTCATGTTCCCACTTTATACACCTGATGTGGCCAAACCCCCGTATATATAGAGAGAGTTGGTTTTTCTGTCACTCACTTTAGGTCAACAATGTTAAGGGAGAGATCTTGAGATGGAGTGTTTAAGACCAAACCATCAGAACTGATAACAGGTCCAGGGAGAGGCTGGCTTGTGGTTTTGTTCTGTCTTTGAGTCAGAGTCTCACTATGTATATCAGGTTTGCCTCAAACTCAGCGATCCACCTGACTTTATCCCCAAATTCTGAGATTAAGGCATACACTATGCCCAACATGAAGCTGTTTGAACAGATCCTTCTGCTTCTACCTCCCAACTGCTAGAATAACATATGGGCTCCATAGGCCCATATGTCTGAAGGCCTGGGTCCCAGTTGGTGGAGCTGTTTAGGAAGGATTAGGAGGTGTGGCCTTATTGGCATAGAGATGTGGCTCTTTTGGAGGAGGTGTGTCACTGGTGGTAGACTCTGAGGTTTCAAAAGCCCATGCCAGGTTCAGTCTTTGTTCCCTGCCTCCAGTTAATAGATCAGCTCTCAGCTACCTCTCTAGTACTCTACTATGCCAGCCTGCCTGCCGCCATGGTTCCCACCATGATGGTCACGAACTCACACTCTGAAACTGTAAGCCAGCCCCCGATCTAATGCATCAAGAATTTTTGTTTTCATTTTTTAGTGTCATGTCTATGAATGTTTGCCTGCATTTATGTTTATGTACCACAAGCATGCCCAAATGTGTCTCTGGAACTGGAGTTACAGATGGTTGTGAGTCACCACATAGATGCTGGGAACTGAACCTGAGTCCTCTGTAAGGACGGCAAGTGCTTTCAACCACCAAGTCTCACATCTAGAATTTTATTTTTATTATTTTTTGTTTGTTTGTTTTTCAAGACAGGGTTTCCCTGTGGCTTTGGAGTCTGTTCTGGAACTAGCTCTTGTAGACCAGGCTGGTCTCGAACTCACAGAGATCCACCTGCCTCTGCCTCCCGAGTGCTGGGATTAAAGGCATGCGCCACCACCATCTAGAATTTTAAGAGCAAATCCCTAAATCCAATGCTACAACCAATCACCGATGAATACGGACATGTGCACAGAGAGGGGTCAAGTAGAGAACACTGTAGACACCAATATCCAAATGAGACACTTACTTCAAAAATTAGGGAAATGTACACTAAAGAAAGGTAGAGTTTCACAACTTTAACCTGAGGCAGGAGCTGATAAAGCTGGATATAAACCTTAACTCAGATTCCGGTGGTCCAGCTCTTAGAAGCACTTTGGCAGTGTCTACCAAGTGATGGCATGGGTATCTTTCAACCTGATAATCCATTTCCATTTCTGGATGCAGAAACCCCAAAAGCAGACACTCTAGTACCTGTACACTAGAACAGGGTGCAGCTGTTCAGAAAGTGTCAAAATTATAATAAATCATAACAGACCTGCCCCTGGCCAAATGGGTGATGTCTGTGCTATACAGTGTTAATACACAGCAGCAAATGTAAACGTTCCAATTAGATACAATAGGCAGCTCATAAAAACACGATGGCGAGAAAAGCCCCAGCACAACGCCACTTATAGAATTAAAGAAAAAAAAAACAATAAAAACCAGTGTATTGAGATGTCTGAATACTACCAGGGGCACACCTGTGATCTCAGATTGGGGAGGATCAGGAATTCAAGGTCATCCTTGGCTGCAAGGCGAGGCTTGATGTAAGCCTGAGCTACAAGAGTCCCTATCTCAAAACACCAAAAGGAAGAAAAAGTATAAATATATGCACTTCAACTTCTTTAAGGGAAGGAATGATAAAACGGTCTAGGAACACAACTTGTTGCAAGCCGTAGCTCACACTCTAGTTCCTCCATTGGGCATGCGATTACAGTGCAAACCACTATTACTAATAACCAAGCAAACTCGATCCAGTTCCTGAGGTTCACCCGGAACCACAATTTAAACGCAACGAAGTAAAACACAAGGAGAATAGAAAGTGAGGCTGAGTTTAACGACTTGTTTAACAGTAGAGGGAAGTTGAGAGTTTAATGCACACACACCTGGCACCCATCATGCATGACTCTCTTTGCAAAGGGTTTCTTCAGTCTGCTGGAGCATGGAGCCCACCTCCTTACTTAATTTTTATCTCTGTAACCACCACACTATCCAACTTCTCTCTTACTCTCTTGGACTTGACTGTTCCTTCTCTGTTTCTTTGTAGGCTCCCTGCTTCATTCATTTCTCAGATACTTGCATTTCTCAGGATTCTAGGTTAGACAGCTAGTTTAGAAACTCCCCTCCTGGGAGGAAGGAAAGATAAAAAGGAACCTGAGGTACCTATGAGCCACTTGGGGGTTGGGAGATGACTCAGTCTGTAGAGTGCTTGCCACGCAAGTAGAAGGAGCTGGGTTCCAGCCCTCAAACTCACAAACAAAAGTCAGGTGTGCTAGTGTGCACTTCGCCATCCCATCACTAGAGAGCTGGAGACAGGTGGTCCCTGAGGTGTACTAGCCAATCTGTGTAGACTGATCATTGAGCCCCAGGCCCGTGAGGGACTGGGTCTCAAAAAATCAAGCTGCTTGAGGAAAGACACCAGTGGCTGTCCTCTGCACATGCATGGGTGTGAGCACACAAACACTTATACACACACTTGTAGCTACACACATGAGTCCAAACCCACACGCTCACAACGTTTGTTTTGTTTTGTTTTTGAGACAGGGTTTCTCTGTGTAACAATCCTGGCCGTTCTGGAACTTGCTTTTGTAGACCAGGCTGGCCTCTAATTCACAGAAGTACACCTGCCTCTGCCTCCCAAGTGCTGGGATTAAAGGCCTGCGCCACCACTGCCAGGCATGTGTGCATGTTTTTAAGTGTGTGGCAATTATCTGCTGTTCAACCTGATTCACTGATGCAGGGTCCCTCAATCAAACGCAGAGTTTGATGATATGGCTGGTCCTGGTAGTCAGACTCTTCTGAGGGTCTCCTTGTCTATGCTTCCTGAGGCTGCCTTCCCCACTCTTTATATGTAGGGTAGAGGATTTGACCTCATGCTTACTCGACGAGCATTTTAAACTCTGAACTGTCTCTTCAGTCCTAACACATCCCTTGGAGAAGCACCAGAAAGGTGCAGTGTAATGCTCTCCAAAGACTTTCCCCAATGGTGATCTTGCTCCAGGTCAAACTGGAACTGCACATGGCAATTATCACAATTACCTGTAGAAGGGGAACCGAAGTCAAACAAGGCAATTTGAAATTAAGATTTTTTTCTTTACAAAGGTATTTGATATAACCATGGTGCTCTTTCAATTGCTACAACTTAATTAAATGTTTCAGCATTGAGTATCTGACTCACGCAACAAAATTTAAACAACTATCACATACTGAAATCCCTGGGAAGCCTTAGTATCTTTTAGAAGCTGGCTGTGCCAGTAACAAGTATCAGAAGATGCCAATGAGCTGTTGTATCCACACAGGTTGATTAATAAAATGAAAACAATGCAGCCATATAATTCAATGGCCTTTTCACACAACTTTCACCAAAGCAAGACATTCTGCCATCTGTACAATACTGCTGCTGTGTGAGCGAAGGGCCTTTCTGTCTACTGGGGATGAGAACCTGTAAGTTCTTAGCTACAGAGAATCTCCACACAGATTGCAAAAGCTCACAAAAAGGCATGAAAGACTCTAATTAGTTATTGTGCGTGTGGCCTGAGTGTGTCAGTGTTCTCACGTATGCACATGTGTGCAGGTGCATGTATGAGGGGGTGCAGGCCTAAGGCTGACATTAGGTATCTTCCTCAGTCACTCTCCACCTTATTATTTGAGGCAGCGTCTCTCAGATAATCTGAAGCTTGCCTATTTCTGCAGTTAGGCTACCTAGCTAGTGAGCCTGGGGGATCCTCCTGTCTACTCCCCAGCACCAGGATTACAGGTGCCTCTACTGCCTCAACATACCCCAGGTGGACCTGGGACAGCAACCCACATAGGTAGGAGTGGACATTTCTGTAATAGAACGCAAGGGAAT